CCCCCCCAGGTATTGCATTCCTGCTTCGGAGGAGAACAAGCTGGAGGACGTGGTGCACACACTGCTGCAGGCCAACGGCACACCCGGGCTGGAGATGCTGGAGAGCAATGTCATGGTACGCCCGCTTGCACGGGCTGTCCTGGAGAGTCGCCCTCTCTGCTGACCTGCCTTTGAAAAGCAGAGATGACAATGCAGAATTACCCTCAGGGATCACAGTCTAACCGTGTCTCGTCCGAAAACCACACCGAAAAAGCGTCAGGTGGCACAGGCGTCAGGCCCTTGCTCACACCCTTCCACTCTGTGGATTCAGACGTGTGTGGGTTACAGGGCGGTGGCCCTGGGCTCAGTGTGGCGCTGTGACTAGCTTTGTTGGGGCACCCTGGTTTCCTGGGCAGTGGGTTAGGAACTCTCGACGTGAAGGCAGGCGTCTTCCCCATTTTCCGGAAGTCATGGGGATGTTGAGTTCCAGGGAGGCTTTTTTGCCTGGAGGTGTGTCCTCACCTGCTGGGCTGCGAGCTTCTGTCTCCATGGGTTCCCCCCTGGCGACCCTCTGGCTCCGGCGTTCAGCTCGCAGCCTTCTTGGGCGTGCATTTGTTCACTTTCTAATCTGGCAGTGAAACAAGGTGACAGAAGGACCCATGAGGGAGGCACATTCAGCCTGGCCTCCGTGTGGCCGTGTTTGGGTCCCGCACCTGGTGAGGCTGCTGTCACTCTTGGACCAGTGTCGATTTAGAACCCTCTTCTTGTTGTTTTTTGGAGTTAGTATTTTTCATTTCTAAAGGAGAGAAAAAATACACTGTCTGCTTGAGTGCCGGCCCGTACTTAAGTTTCTAATGCCCTGCTTGGGGACAGGTGTGCAGAAGTGGTGAGGTGGTGTCACTGCCCTGCTAGGCTGTGTGGGGCGGTGGTTGAGGGGGGGTGGTGGGGTGGCTGGCAGCCTGCAGGGGAGGGAGGTCACATGCAGGAGGGGCACACTCCCACGCCTGCCCTCTGCACCCCCAGATCTCGCCGGAGGTGCTGTGTCGAGAGGGCATCAAGGTGCACAGGACCGTGCAGCAGAGCGGCCAGTTCGTGGTCTGCTTTCCAGGATCCTTTGTGTCCAAAGTGTGCTGTGGCTACAGCGTCTCCGAGACCGTGCACTTTGCTACCACCCAGTGGACAAGCATGGGCTTTGAAACTGCAAAGGTAAGGCCAGGCACCCCGCTGCTCCTGCCCTGCCATGTGCACGTGCAGGCCACGTGCACACACACCTGTGCGGCTGGTTCTGTTTTCAGACCACATGTTTTATTGCAGAGTGTGTCTTTACAGTTCGGGGTACTTTCCAGGAAAGGGAAATCGTTAGGGCTCTGTTTGCATCCTGGAGAATTCTGGGCGTGCATCAGTGACCCTCAGTGACCCTAGGTAACATGTAGGACAGATAGACAGTCCCCACTGCAGTGAAGGTACACATGGAGACACGTGGATGTACAGGATCCTGGCAGTTCATCCTGTGGCACCTGCCTTACTTGTTGGCAGGACGGTGCTGTGGCTGTTACCGAGACCGTATCTCCCACAGGCTATTGTGGTCACTGTACAGCTGACTCTCAGTTGTTCCACATCCTGATGGAACCCTGAAACTTCAGAGCTAGCCCCCAGTCCGTAAAGAAAAGCCTTCACAGCCGCCGAGCAGAGAAAGCCCACCCTCACGGAGGTGCCGTCTCTTTCAGGAAATGAAACGCCGCCACATAGCAAAGCCGTTCTCCATGGAGAAGCTCCTCTATCAGATTGCGCAGGCGGAGGCTAAGAAGGAGAACGGTCCCACGCTCAGCACCATCTCGGCCCTTCTCGATGAGCTCAGGTAACACAGACCCGGGGCTCCAGGAAGACCTCTGGGGCTCCGCCGGGCGGGGGTACAGGG